CATCACCATCTGATAGTGATACAAACTCCTTGATATCTTTCATATATCAGAGCATTCTTTGTTTGTCTTCAAAGCAACAACTTGACTCAAAACAAACATTAAGCACTGAGGCAAATGTAAAACAACCCAAACTTTCCCTGCATGTATTAGTATCTTTTTTAATCACCAGCTATGATGATGGAACAAAATTAACAGTTAACTTACTGGCAATTGTGGTGGTCTCTCATGCTGTCTGTCAGCTGGAAAACAAGAAATGGTAAAAAAAATCTATATTAGTAATACCCAAATGTACACACAAGTACACCACGTACTTTCACATACACAAATTTTCTTATAGCAGTAGGAAAACCAAATGAGGAGAATATTATTTAAAACTATCAACTGTCCAAAAACTTCTAGATAAGCCAATGACCGGTACAGGATCAGCAATCCAAATTTGTGTTTTCTATGTGTATTTTTCAGGACTCAAAAAGTACCAGAAAGGTACCAGAAGAGGTAGCACTTGCTATTTCAGTGATTCACTTTAGAACAAAATTTTGCCTCACCCCAAACTAGAGGAGACTGTTATTTACCTTTATGCAGTAAACATTACCATACCTTGAGCATGTGAGGGTGGTTTTCCTAGGAGGGTCAGTGCCACATAGGAACCAGCTAAAATGACACAGAGCATCTTTAGATGTAATTTCTAAAGAAAAGATGGATTTTTCCATTGCTGGACCTACTTCTCTTTTAGCATGTGGTTTTCAATCCAAAGTTTCAAGGCATAGTAAGTATCATGAGAATAAAACAGGTCTTTAAGACGAGTACTGTTACCTTAGCTGAATGGGATACTTATTCACAACCAGTAAAAACCCAATACACCGACTGATGATCATCTCTCCATGCCCAGGGGTTCAAAGAGCCTTGCCCTGCTCACCCAAGGGTGGTGTAGAGGTGTGCTCTCCCAGAAAATGATAAATTTTTTCAGTAAACTAACAATTAAGTAAACTAAGATGCTTCTGGTGCAAAAAAAGCTCTCATTCCCTTCAAAAAATTTAATCATGATTTTATGCCTTGATTGACAGAAAAATTAGTTTCCAAATGTAAGTGCATAATCTTTTACCTTTTAGATCTCTACATTTTCCTAGTTCAGATACATTTTATCTTTGAGAAGATACATGAGGAAAATATAGGGTAGTGACTAATTCTTCAATCTTCTAAGTTGAGATTTTGAGAGCAGCTGGACAAAGTTGTCTTCCCAGCCCCTAAATTTGCCTAGTGCCTGGCTCCTCATGAAACCCTTGCATGCCAGTTTGTCAGGGTCAATTAATATTCCTCGTAAGAGAAGAGGCAAAAAACTGAACCACCACAGTTCAATTCAACACTTTATACTCAAAGCAGCTTGCCAGAAAGATTTAGTAGCATAATGAATTCAAGAAGAAAACAAACCAAACTGGCACAATGCATGTCAAAGAGTACTTACATTTAATCAAGTTGACAACTTCAATGTGATTGAACTCTCTGACATCAGTTCCATTCACCTTGAGGGTAGAAAACAAATAAATTCCAGTTTACTATACAAGAGATGTAATGTGAACTCTTCTTGCATACAATAAAGCAACTTAAAATCTAACCCATGTGTTTTATAGTTTGTTCAGTGTACAAATAAAACATCTTTCTAAGCATAAACATTTCTTCTTGAACAGGCTAAGGCAGATACTGAACCCTGCTCTGTCTTGTAATACTTCACATGGTGTATGGTAACCTTAACAAAGCTGTCCTTCTATAATAACTACGAGTTGTGTGAGGGCTGTTGTGTCAGAAGCATGTTGTAAACAGTGCCCTATGTTGTAAGGCAGATACTGAACCCTGCTCTGTCTCGTGACACTTCAAAAGGAGTATGGTAACCTTAACAAAGCTGTCCTTTTATAATAACTACAAGTTGCATGCAGGCTGTTGTATCAGAAGTATGTTGTAAACAGTTCCTACATGCTTTCATGAAAGGTAGGACAAACAAGTAGCCCCCAGGCTACAGTTGCCCATGGTACCTGAGCTCTGCTGGAGCACAGTCCTGTACATGTATAATAAGAAATAACTAAGAATTGTATTCAGAAAGAAAAGGATCTTTCTCGATCATTGCCTCTGCAATTTTCATCTTGTTTGCTAATTAGTATACAAATATATTTTTCCTGAACCTTGACAATCTTGTCACCAACTTGCACACCTGTGCGGTGAGCGGCTCCACCTGATAAAAAAAGACCGGTTGTCATTACTTTAGCATACTGTTATGAGTAATTGTTGTTGCTTCTAGAAATCTCCAGACTGCTAAGTCATGCTGACTTGCATACTGTAGAACTTTCCTGAACATTTCATCAAGTCACACATTTATTGTGCAATACTACTAAAACAGTTCTTATGTAAGCTTCTGGAATGTTCCAGAACACTTAGTGAATATATATAAAGACTTAGTCACGTAGTAGTAGAAGTAGTTATTGTTATTGGAGTGACGACTGTTTTGAAAGCTATACCAAGAGAGAGTTACCATGAAAAATTGCTCCTTCCAAGGAACTTTGGAGACAGCAGTGAGATTATGCAGAGTTTGTGGGATTGTATAGTTTTTCTGTCCGTTAGATTAAACCATAAAAATACCTACATGTGAGGCATTTCTTCAACAAAAAGGAGCTACACTTTAACCTTGTACCATTCACTCACTCAGCAGCACCAGTAATACCTTGAATTACTCAATGCTTGAGCTATATATATATACACAAGTTAAAGAATTAAAGGGGACGCATCAATTCTCTGTGACTCTGAGTTTCGCGCCTAAGCACTCGTCAGACAGAATTTAACTTATGTATACTTAGCTCTGCTACCACAGCATTGAGCACTTTATGCCAAGGTAAACTCTACCCCCACATTCATATATATATATATATATATATATATATATATATATATATATATATATATATATATATATTATACAGAATTATCATAATAAAGAAGTTGTTTCTGAATAATAATCAACACAAATTGAATCATGATTTACTAAGGAAAAAGAAAACAATTCCTGCTGATATGAATTGAAAGTTACTGCAGTGGTACAGGTACACACCTTCCTTCACAGACTGCACATAAACTGGATTGTCCCCTGTGACAGTCAGTCCATAGCCTTTTTCATCACGTTGGATAATAACACAGTGTTGGATCAAGTGTTGACCTAAAAGGCAGAAAAAAAATTAAATTACTGTTGTTTCAATGTTTGATTACCTAGTTACCTCCAGTTGCCATTGAATTCATGGCTAATATTCTTTTAATTATTTTACTTATTCACCACAAAAACTGAAAACAAACATCAAAATGCAATTTGTGTGATTTGTTTCATCATTAGATGTCCAACTCTTCATAAGACATAGCCTAAGGAAAATGAAAAGTTTTCTTATGACAAAAAATTCCTTTAGATTTATATATATGTATAGGTGCATTGACACCTTTCTTTTAATACTACAAATAAAAAGATAAGGTATCATTCAGCGTAATCAACTCAATTATACCTTACAAAGCATTCCCACTATGAACTACAATGATGAGTACTCTAGCTAAACAATAACTTCATTTAAAATACAAGAGAGGGGAAAAGGATCATATAGATTTAGAATTATTGACAAACTAAGTTCCATAGTTGTTTGACAAACACTCTAATTCAACAATTCAATTCTATTAACCAGTATACGCAGGAAATTACTATGGCAAGCTAAATGAGCCCAGCAGTCCTGAGTAAAAATTGATTCTTGAAAAAAGAGAGAACCATCCATTGATGCATTTCCTCAAAGCTTACAAAATATTTTCATCCCCCCTATACTTTGTCTTCCCCACTTAGAGTTTATATCACAAAGTCAATTTTAGACAGCCATAGAATAATCCTAACTACACACTTACACAGAGCTTCTGGAGTTCTCCTATTTACCTCTTGCAATACCCCCAGACCCTCCCATAACACTTTAATATTGGACTTACTGTAGATACAAATGGGGTACAAGTTCTATCGCTTACTTTTAAAATTGCACATGACCCTGGTGGACTGACCCACCTAACAGTCTTAAAAATAATGGCTGTTACATGTTTGTCCACTAAAGATCTTTATCAAAGATGAATTGTCCACATACTTAAACTCAGGGGGAGATCAAAACAATTTAGCATTACTTTAAACAAAGAACCATTTCATCGACTGTTGAAAAAAGAAAACAACTTCATAAATCACAGAAGTCTCCCTGACCAAATAATCTCAATATTTTCATTAGTTCCCTTTATTCAAACTTGTGTTCCAGTTGACAAATAACAATAATTCTACTTAGGTTGTCCCAAATACATCTTTGTTTGCAGATGCTTGTACACATGAAAAGAGATCATCAGAATCTGCTGCCCATGCTTCACTGCTCTGCTTTTTTTCTTTATTGCTTGTGAGCTTCCTAATCATGCGATAAATTGATTGAGTGAAGAACACATTTTCAAGAAATCTCATTCCAAGTTTTCACACTAATGCTTCAAAATTCTGGCATAAAATAAGCAGTTACAAGGTGCCATCAACCATCCAATCAGAGAAACTAAAAGATTAATAGCCAGGTTTGAAAGCAAACTACCAACATAAATTCATATTAATACTTAAACAAGTCAGGTGATTAAACTTTCAAAAATCAACAAAGTGACATCAACTGTGTAAATACTGTATACTAAAATGTGTTTCAGGATCATATTAACCTGCCATTACCATGGAAACACAAAGAACAAGAATTCCTATTTTCCACCAAATCCCTTTCATATTCCCACTCTCATGCAATGACTACAGTTCTTTAAATTCTTATGAAAGATGAAGTTATCACTTGTATTTCCCTGGAATCAACCGATAAAGTAAATAATCTAGTAAAGAAAAAGTCGTTATGATACTAACAGCTGCGGACAGATGAATTTTACATCCATCACGTTCAATGAGCAGTGAAATGAGCAATCCGAAGACGATCGTTAAATTCCTTCCAAAGGCAAAACTAGGTGTTAAAAACACTTACTGATACCATAAGTGTTCATTGTATTCCTCCAAATAACCACTTTGCCAATTATTAGGAGGCAACATATTCAAAAATTGATAGCAATGCGTCTGTTCGGACATGATATAATACGAAATGAGCAAACGAACCGAAAACATAAAGTAAATATTCTTTGACCGATGACAGGTACGTTGTTATAGAACTGAAAAAGGGATTTGAAACAAATTTATGCGAACCTTTTACAGCGGCGTAAAATGTTTGTCTGAATAGTTACTTGTACTATGGAGGATAATATCGACGGTAGTTTGAACAGAAAGCAGCTAGTAATGATGTGAGGTATTGAAAAACTATTGAAGGTTATTAAGAAAAGCCGAATAGAACGTGAAAAAAAAAACCAGTGACGATAATCCTTGTCATGGGAGACCGTCTGAAAAATTGATGAATTGAATGACTATCTGTTTAGCCGAACATTACTTCACATAGAGAAAGTGTGTTGATCACGATACAAAAAGACGACTTCTACGACGAAATGTAACTCACCCTCTTCGTTTTCGGCGAGGTCCATCATAAGCACCAAAGTCAGCCTCGACGGTAGGTCACCCTACAAAGCGAAACACAAATGCTCAATGATATATAAAATGGCTATAAATATAACCAGCACTGATTAAAACTTCACTCACAAGCCACTGAAAAAGTTCGTGGAGACGAGAGAGCAAAACAGACCTAACATTACATATGATCAAGAAATTCCAAACCCTGCATGCTATTCAGCTTTTAACAGAAGTGGATACGTATATTTTTGAAATTCTATTTCATTCGAGCTGTGTTCGTACATGGAATGCTGTTCACCCGCAACACGAGAAAGGCCCGCTCATGCCTAAAAATTATTTCCTTCTCCACAGTCTAAGGTAACTTGTATGTACATGAAATGCTCTCGCACTGTATCAACCACTATTAGTAAAAAATAAACCGGCACCGAACCTTGCTGCACAGTCAGCCTGAAGCGATAAACAGCGAAATAAATGGTAATCATTCTTTCACAGCCAATGCATCGATCGAGTGCGTAAAAGATCTCACAAAGTAATGCAAATTTTCCTCTGCGTTCCGCCAATGGATGGTGAAAAAAAAAGTAAACCTCCGTCGAACACTTGAATTCCTTGAATGTCCAACCTTTACTGTTTAAACGTAAGATCTCTGTATCCGGAGGAAATCTGTCTCGTTTCGAAATAATAATAGCGCCTTCAGACCGAACAATGTCCTCGAACTCTTTCTGAGAAGAGGACGATTCGGTCCTGTTCACTCTGGCGTAATATGCGGTCGAGAAAAAATGATAGAGCAAAACAAATCTCCTAATTTTCCAGCCCTCTTGCAACAACCAATATGGCGCTCGGATATTGTCGAGCAAAGTGCCCCTGACAAACACAAAGCAACAGAGACGCCCCGCAGGTCCCGTTTCTTTGAGACCCGTAAGTAAATCCTAAGCTCGATATCCCGAGCCACATCAAACGAAAAGTGAAGAGAGCGAGGGTAAAGGGAGAATTACGAGAAGCGTCCATTTTTATAATAAAAATGCCGTCTGTATTTTAATATAAATACCAGTTGCTCGTTTTTCAAAGTTGCTGCGTATTTTAAAGGAAGCGTCGAAATTTCATTTGATAACCTTTCTCTTTGTTCTGCGCATTTTTTTTTGTTTATCATAGACACAAATTGGAAATTTTTATTGAAGCTTACAACATCTTACGAGCCCGCCTAAATGCCCGCCTTCATACCACTTGTAAGAAAAAAGGAATGTGAAATCCGGAGGTATCTAAATTTCCTTTTTTTTTGATACATGAGTCACAAGGAACTTCCATATAAAGAAGCTACGAAAAGTTTGTTTTTGTGTCAGTTTTACCGAGTGGTGTTCGAATCTAGCACAGAGTAGTCGTTTTTTAGCCAGGAACATCATTGTCTCCTGTGTCTCCTTGGTCAAGACTAAACTCCCTTCTAGAGAACTAACCACCGATTTGCAGCCTTTTATTTTTCAACCCAATCGACCAAAACCGAATTCTACCTATTTTAGGGCCTGTTTACATGGAGGTGGGGGACCCCAGGTAGGTGAGGTAACCCGCCTGTCCATATAATTTCTTATTTTTTCTCAATCACGTTTACATGATAAGTGGGTTGACCCGCCTAGGCGGGTTGCCCGGTCTGCCAGGTAGGGTAACCCTGTCAGTCGGGGTGACAATTTGCCATGTAAACGTCTCAAAGTGGGGTAACCCGCCTACCCGGGGTTGCCTTCATGGCAAAAAGCTCACAAGCGAAACACGTATGTTTTAAAACTTTGTACATTTCCTAGCCGTCTCATGGCAGAAATCACCAGAAACCACAACGGACACACAAGGAATGTAAAATGTTCACATTTAGGAATATTTAGCGTTGTAAAATCGACCATATTTCAAACTATTTCTTATGACGTATTAAGTCGATGGTTCTTCGCGTAACACAACGCGTGACACTTTTATAAATAAATACATACTTGTCCAAGAATGAATCTTTCGTCTTTCTCGAGACGTGAGCTTGGGACGCCTATGCTCAAACTCCCTAATCGCAAGCGTAACAACAACCTCAAGAAACCTCACCCCTGCACCCCGGGGTCGTAAGATTGTATGTTAACGTGTTTTATTTTTCGACCACGGCTAAGCGGGTTACCTCACCTACCTGGGGTCCCCCACTTCCATGTAAACAGGCCCTTACCCTTTGAAATGATTGGGAAACTTCTCAAAATTGATTCTGTTATTTGACCTGCTAAGAAAGACACTCATAAGAATAAGCTTATACCTCAGAAGTAACTTGGAAAAAAAACAAAACAACAAACATCCTAGTTACATTGAGGAAATTGTGTTTTGGAATGTTGACAGGATACGAAATGTTTTCTCCTGTTTCACAACTTTACCTTGTATAGGTAATGTCGTCATATTTAAATGACGCGTAAAATTTTCTTTCACCCGATCGGTGCATCACTAGACAAGAAATCTCAAGTCTAAGGCGGGTGTGATAAACAGTCCTATAGCATATACATCGAGATATTACTTTTTTGAAAAATAAATTAGTAAGGCTGTCTATATAGGCTTGTCTTGGACAAAGTAATGCCGTAATATTCGACATCTTAATGAACTTTCATTCCTTTTCATATCCTTTACGAACAGTTTCCCTTGAAATAAATTCGAAGAAGAATCACGGTTTACTCTGAGTAATCCTCGAACCTTCATCCACAATCTTCAATAAAACATTGCCATCCTCAGTACACTTACCATGACAGATCGAGAAGAGATCCTCAGCTTTCGTAATTCACAATGGTTTAGGGGTAAACGGTCTCAGTGGTCTTGACTGAAGACGAGTGTAGAGGAGCTTGATCGGGAAATCGCTCATAAAGCCAGCCATATACGTCATTGAATGTCGGGAATCTAAATGAAGTTTTACTACGGAGCTTTTCATCTTAAAAATTCCTTTCTCTTTTCCGCATTCCACCGGTTCGTTTCACATCGTGAATTGAAAGTTAACAAATATGTTCATCACCTGTTTATTAAACGTAAGATATCCCATCTGTTCTCCTCTTTTCTGAGTACTTTTGATAATCATTAGTTTAAGGAATAGCTTAACGTTTACTTAAGCAAACCTAATGGAAAGCACATCCTGCTTAGTCACGAGCCAAACACCACTGCCCGTAGACTGAATGGTAATAAAATGACACACAGAGTTAAAAAAAGATCATCATGTATCTCAATTATTACAGATTCAGATCTGGCGTACAAGGTCAAACCCTTCGTCTGCCGCAGACATTTGCGACGCGTCCTTACAAGATTAAGAAGCCACCATCATAATTCGTGTGTATCACATTATGGCTCACTGGGGAGCTCCAGGATGTCAAATTAAATGCTATGACAACAATGAAAGAATTTCACTTTAAAAAGTGTGGTCAATGCTGCCATCACGTATAAAGGTGAAACACAGGTGCTGCCAAATGCATGCGATTATGTTAAGTGTGCCCTTTGACTCTCAACAACTTCCCGTTCGAAAATGAACTCATTTGAAACGTTTTTTAGATGTCCGCTGGGAAATTCGAATATATGGTGTGATCATAAAGGGAGACAATCTAACTGCGTCATTTCTTCTCAAAGATAGCTGATGTTATCATCTCCTGACTCAAGCGAGCGAATAGATTGGAGCAAAGATACCAACACGACGAAGAAAAAACAACCGCTCATTCGTATTCATTTTAAGTAAGCACCCAGCAAATGCGGTACTCTTATTACCTGCACTATTATCGTTAGTATTATTATCTTTATTATTATTATGATTACTATAATCATTATTATTTCCATTTTTCTTGTAATATTGCCATCATTTTCACTATTTCACCATAATTATCACTATTACTATACTTTAACACTATTACTATTACTGTTACTGTAACTCACCATTATCATTGCTCACTGTTACTATGACTATTATTATTGAGTTCCTGTGTATACTTTTTTCTCCCATTCATTTAAGTCGATTAAGTACTTCACTAGTTGAATCCTACACCATAATTAATTGACCCTTCTCTCCCGGATAAAATAATTTCAGAGATGTATAGCTCCAACAACTCAGTTAGGGCCTGATTAGAATTTCGATTCTTTCCAGTAACAAAACGTATTCATGGAAACTTGATCTCGAGTACAAACTCTGTCCTAGGTATTTGCGATTCCCCACGAGATTTATTAGTCTGATTAATTTCCACCTCAAATGTCAGTACTCTAGTATGCCAAAAAGATTTCTTTCCGTTAAACAAAACATGCTGCCAATGTGCAAAATTATCCTGCTACAAGGTGGGCCCTCTCTAAACAAAAATAACAGTAACCGCGACCCGTTGTCTAGAGACTTTTCTATTTTTAATTATTTCCTTCTTCATTAGGAAGCTACCTCTAAATCGAGGAACTGTAAACTCTGAAGACCTATAATTTCAAGAAAAAACTACAGGTTGCATTGCAAATGACAAACTTTGAAGATCGCGCCACAACGCTTCCTCCAAAAAGAATGAACTGCGTTCGTAGAGGAAGTCGGGCCGGCTCCGTTACAAATAAAGAGGGGAGCATTGGGGCCTATTAGAAACCGCAAAACTGTAGAAAAAATCATCCAAAACCGAAAAACTGAAAAAAAATTCGATCAAAACCGAAACCGCATGCAAAACTGTTAAAACCGATACATTTTCACATCCCAGTTATTAAAACCCTGTTCGATCCGATATAGTGGTGATAAGTGGAGCATACAGAGTAAACTACACTAATTTCAATACAGGAATTATGAATGCCATGGAATTGGCATTCTTATCTTTTAGTATCTGCTTGAATTGACGGCTGCTCTCTCGAGGGCCTCGAGCGTGGTCTCTGCGGACTCTGCAGCTGGTAATGGAGCCCTGTTAAATTAAGGAAATTCGCGCTAAAGTCCTCTATAGGATTGCAATTTTGCAGTCGCAAAAAACTATAGCTCTGGAAAGTTTCACCGGTATCGCAGAGGTCATGGATTCAAATCCCGTACAGGCCTGAATTTTTTTCAGGCCTTCTTTTCACTACTGCTAAAGAAGATCGCTTTTATATTCACATTTATATTCTCATTTAGACAACTTATATGTTTTGAAAGAACAGCTTGCATTTCAGAATTTCCTAAGATTTAATTTAGAGCTTACTTTTCACATTCACATTCAACATTTCTTTACTTATCATTTAAAAAGGAAAATTATTGGGGTGGTTTTCATAGTGGGTATTTTCTCTGATCCACATCAGTTTGGATATCTGGTGAAGTGAGGTCTGTGTTTGTAACGAAGTTTGTAGAGCTGATTTGCGACTGGTATGCATACTGGAGACCTACAAGTCTTCTTAACTTCTTTGTTGTAAAATTCCTTTCTGGCTGGAAACTTTTCGTCCGCAACCTTGAGATTACATTTCCTCTGAAACACATATAGAGGAAAATCATGACTGACAAGTAGTTCATGTTCTCTTGTGACAAGTTATTACGAGAACAAGGTGGAGGTTTGTTCTGAATTTTTTTTTTTAAATAGCAGCATTTTATACACTTGGATGTAATCGTATGATCTTTGGGGAAAATACTCAACACACAAACCCACCCACACTTGTCCTAAATATGTCGATGATACCAATTTCAAACATGGCTGCTGGCTTTCTAACAATAACAATCATACATCTCTGTAGTTCTGTTGAAGGAAGTTTGTCTTTATTGCACTTTGGTATCATCGAATCAACTTTATCTTACTTAATCTGTGCATTCTAGCTTAATTAGAATTAGAAATGTAAAAGGTCAGATCAGGGCCTGGTGGTTCAAGAATGGGTTAAGAGAACCTAGGGTTCGTGTGAAATCTAATCTCAGTTCTGAAAGTTTTGAAAGAAAATTCAGTACAGTTCTTTTTGCCTACAATTTGATGATTGGGTGCTTTAAAAAAGAACGGAGAAAATTATCTGGAAAGGGCTTTTCAATAAAGGATTAAAGAAACCGGTGTTAAAATTTAACTCTAACCTTGAGTTAGCACTAGTCGGCCTTGGAACAACTAAGCCTAAGAGATTTGGGGCAGTCTGTCCTCTAATAGGTCGTTAGCCATTCATGGAAAACAAAATTATGAAGAAACCGTTATGGTAACTGGAGATATCCTAGAAAATATACCTACCATATATGCATGAGAGGTTTTCATCTTTGGTAAATCTGTGAAGGGCTTAGGGAGGTGGTACCTACTGTAAATTCCATTTTCAATAATCTTGTTCTTTTGTAGCTGACAAGACAAAAGACAAACTTGCTACAAGAAAGATGAAAGCTTGATTGTAAATAACTGCCTGTAGTTATTGCATTTTTCCCAGCATGGAGCAAGTAGGAGTATTATTAACACATTGTTGTGCGGATAATCCAGTGTAAGTTATCCCCTTAAACAACAGATTACTTCGCGATTTTGAAGAGAGAAGAGTAAACATTTCGCGATAGTTCGGCTCAAGATTTTGCGAAACATTTTGTATTTTTTATTTACGTAAATGATTTCGCTTTTGTTTCCTGCCCTTGACTTGAATGAAACAACATTTTTATTGTCAAATCTAACCGAAACCTGAGAGCGATATTTCAAGTCAACAATACGAACAAAAAAAACATCGCGAACTTCGTAAAATAACACAATACAAATTTTATGCAATGAAATACTAGCTTGATCACTTTCGCATTATAAAGGGTTATGCAGTCAATTGCCGATGATTCGAACCCTTGTTAACTCGAACCTCGCGCTACCTCGAGCCAAAATCGATTTCCCCTGGATTTCCATCATACATGTATTGTATTTTTACCCTTGGTAACTCGAACCCTCAATAATTCGAACCTTCCGCCAATTCGAGGCAGCTTTCGTTTCCCTTCAGGTCATTCTCTATATATATTATTTACGTTACGTTGTGAATTCTGCAGTGATTTAGTGTTCCATTCTCAATCGACTTCTCTATTATAAAATTGGATTAAAATGTATACTGTTGAGTAAAAAAACAGTAAACACCGTTTTTCCATTTTTCGTTTCCGATCCTTTGGTTTCAACACCCGATAACTCGAACCTCTTACAATTTTCCTTGAAGGTTCGAGTTATCAAGATTCGATTGTGCATTTGTAACGGTATATCCTTGTATCGAGAATTGAATGCAATGAAAAATTTCTCATATTTCGGTTCAATGAGGTGCCTCTTGGAAATCTGCAAATTTTTTGTATGTGCTTATTAGTTAAATGCATATTCAAAAAGGAAGAAGACCACCTATTTATAAATCAAGTAAAGCCTTTACATCAGACCTCATCATCCTTCACAAAAAAAAAACACTCACCCGTCTTTTTTCATCAAGCCAGTCTTGGACTAAATTGCCGAAGGAATACTGTCGCTCCAAATGTCTCAATCTTAGTTCTGTAGTTCGCTCGCTAAGAGCCTCCTTTATATTAATCTTTGGATTAGTTTTCTTTATGATTCCATCATTAAAATACATTTCTTTCCTTCTATCCTTCGTCTATCTCGCACGCGGATGTAATTCAAAGTTGTGCTGTATGTGGTTACAAATTAGAACCACCGTAAAGATTTGTGACGTTTAAATTAATTTTACGGTGCGAATCAATAAATGGACGATATTGTAAAAAAATAAGAAAGGAAATCAAAATTTTCACCCACAGTTGAGAATAACCGATTTCCGTTGAGCGAAATCTAATTTTCGCTGCTCCTCTTGAGTTAGAACTTATTTCTTTAATGCGGAAGAGTACTAAAAGAAATAACTAGAAGTGGTTACGATGAAGTTCTGCAACCCAATTTTTTTCCAACAAGGAACATGTATCGAAGTACACGAAGGGACTGATTATTTGAAAGACATTTAGTGCTTATCAAGAACTTAAAGGTTGGACTTGATATTTTATATATGTTGTATAAATAAAAAAGCATATATATATATATAAATATTATGAGAGGAAAAAACGACGCAACTACATATCCCGACAAGCCTGTTTCGTGAATCGCTTCACTCTTCAGGGGTATAATTAACGAGTGAAGCGATTCACGAAACAGGCTTGTCGGGATATGTAGTTGCGTCGTTTTTTCCTCTCATAATATTTATTCTGCTCTGCTTCAACGTATTGAGTACTGTCCCACGCGAAAATCGACTTGCAGACTTCCTATATATATATATATATATATATATATATATATATACATACATACAATGGGCAGTTACGACGGTGCCGAAACATGCGAGCTAGCGGGAAGTTTCCTCCTTTCCCAACTGCAAGAACTCAACATCAACATTGGACTTTACAGAGACGACGGACTGGTCATTTCAGACACCACACCGAGGGACACAGAAAGCATCAAAAAGGAAATATGCCGCATCTTCAATCAACGGACTACGTATCACCATCAAAGCCAACAAACAGACCATAAATTTCTTAGACGTCACTTTCAACCCAAACAAGAACAACTACCAGCCCTTCGCGAGGGGGGCATTGGGATTTTCGGTTTTGCGGTTTTGGCTATTTTTTAGATGGGTTTTTCGGTTTTTTGTGTGTTTTTTTGGTTTTGGTTCATTGCGGTTTGCGGATTTTCTTTCTTTTAACAGTTGTTTATCGGTTTTCACGAAAAACACTAACGGGCTTTCGGATTTGATATCCGATACGGTTTTCGGATTTTCCTATTTAACCTATTTGGGTTCCGGTTTCTCTTCGATCTGAACGGCAATTACGCGCCTCCACTGTTCTCGAATAGCCGCTAAACGCAAATGTTAGCGAGAGGAATGCGTGATAAACGAATTAAAATATCGCAGGGATCCCTAGGTGGCCTACGTATAACCGTACCCTAATCCTCCCCCTCCCCCAAGGTGCGGGGGAGGGGGAGGATACTGCGGATACCGGTACACTCTACACTACGAACTACCCACGACTAACAACCGAAAAAACAGACAACGGAACAACATTCTCTGGTATAACCCCTCATTCAGCAAAAACGTCAGCACCAATATAGGACACAGATTCCTTGCCCTAGTAGACAAGCACTTCCTGAAAGACCACAAACTTAGAAAAATCTTTAATCGTAACAAAATCAAGATCAGTTACAGCTGCATGAATAACACTAAACAGATCATCGACAACCACAACAAATGCATTCTAAATTCATCCAAACACATCAATGACACCGCAGATAACACCAACACAAAAGACATCAAAACTTGCAACTTCCGACAGAAGAACACATGCCCACTTAACGGAAACTGCCTCCAATCATCTCTAATCTACCAAGCCATCGTCACACGCAAGGACAACAGCACCACTGTAACATATATCGGACTCACAGAAAACGACTTCAAGACTAGATACAGAAACCACTCTGCATCATTCCGTCAAACAAAACTCTGAAACTCTACCGAACTCAGCAAACATATCTGGACCCTTAAAGAAAATA